TGTACTGCAGCTCAGAAACTAGGTAGTAAAGCTTAATGTTTAGGGTGGGAGCCAGGGGACACAGGCATATGCCTGTACATGTGCATTGTTCTGTGCTTAATGAAATATTGAAACTAAATTAACACTGATGATCTAAAATGGCTTATCTAAGTATAAAACTTAACATTCTTTCAAGACTAAGAAGCTGAGCTTCACAATCTTTACTTTTTGTTTTGTTTTGATCTTTAGTATGAAAGCTAATTACAATTTGGGTTGAACGTTAAATTTTTTTAAACATGCTGCATCTACAGCACATTTTTAAATTTATGATGAAAGAATTTTGGTTCATAATTATCATCATATGTGTTTATAATTCATGATAACTTGTTATTCAATTTACTTTTCAGTGATCAAAAAGTTTTCATTAGCAGCATGTTGGCTACTGTTAACATACCTTCAATGTACAAAGTTATCTGGTTTTATCCAGCTCTAGCTGTATCAGTACATTTTTTTAAGTGAGTAGAGGTACAGATGCCAAAAAGTCTTGCTTGTGAACTAGCAAATCTAGTTCACAAAATTTTCATGGAATATTGGCAAGACTTTTGCAAATTGGTATTTTGTTCTGGGATGGAAATCAGCATTTGCTGAAATTGAAATTTAAGCAATGAGTAATATTTTATTTTCAGTGTTCCCTTCTTTCCTCAAGATATTCCAACCTCAGTTATTCAAAGACTCCATCACCAGAGAGAAAGTCAGATTATCACTCGTTGGGGGTAGGAAGGTCCTATGCCCTTTATGTATCCCATATTCTTTCAGGTAAGTGAAATGAGCATATCTGGGTATTACAGTTGTTTATGCACACTACTATAAATACTTCTACGAGAAGATTTACCTTCACCTGAGACTTGGAATGTTGTTAAATTAATGTACAAATGTATATGACCATAACTTAACTATGATAGGTATATTAGCTGAGTGAAGTGATATACATAAAAGCAATGAGGGCTTCTTGCCCATTCTATCCCAAAATGTGTAGAACTTTTAAAAAATCCAGCTTTTTACTTTCCAACAGTATGGTAAATATAAAGTGCTTAGCATTTTGCATGACACCTTGTAGGGCCTCAATAAATATTAGCTAGTATCATTACAAATCATAAAGGCCCTGTTAGGTGGAAGTTTGTATCTTTCTCTTGACTAATAGAAGCACTATGCAGATGATATGTCACAAAATCTAGAAAGGTAATGCTAAAATGAATAGGCTAATCTCCTTATTTTACAAATGAGGACATTGATGCTCCAGGAAGTTAAAGGACTTAAACAAAATCACAAAGGTAAAGTGGAAGGCCCAAGAGAAATCCCCTGGCCTTCAGCCTGCTGTGATTTCTACAAACTATAGGTCAGAAATTTTCAGACAAGAGGCACCTGCAGGCATCTTCAAGCAAGGCCTCAGCCTCCAGCACAGATCTTAGCACCTGCAAACACCAGGGAAGAGCAAGACTGAGTTACGTGGCTTGGAAGAAGAGTGAAACATCCCACAACACCCAGAGAAAACTCCACATCCATTTGCAGCTCAATTTTAAAGCCTAAATAAAAGTACAGTCTTTGGAATCTCTTTATCTTTGGTCAGGCAAATGTTTAAAGAGCAATATTATATACATCTAGGATAAGAACAATTCATTAATTTAGATGAATGAATTGTCAAAAGACTGTTGTGCCTGCAAATGTGAATAAATTGACTATCAAGTCATCATGAAATGAAAACATGAGATAATGTTCCCCTGTTTCATTTTCCTTTTTCCCAAAGACATGGGTAACAGAGATCTTTATATCCAGCATTACTTTTGGAAAAAAAATTAAAGTATCCAGTGCTTCTTATGAAGAAGGTTATTTCCCCCACTTGGTAGGAAATCTGATCCAGAGAAATTAGGGGCCATGGAGATTATGTCCTGAATCTGCAGGTCATGCTGAAAAATATAAACCAGTTTAAGTTCTGGAAAATTGAAAGTCACTCCTATTTTTAGATCAGCATCTCTTGAGGATATTCTTTAATATCAAAGGAAATTAAAATGAAATATTGTCTTTACTCTTTTAGAGCTTTTCTTTTCAAGGAAAGAAAGGGGATTTAGAGTTTTCTTTTCAAAATATGCAATTGGTCCTAACCTGACTCCTCACTTCAACAGCCTTAAATTGAGGTACAGTCTAGTAGGTGACCAGAAAAACATTTCTCTGACATCTCAGGGGTGAGTAACACCGCTAAGGAATTTAGATGTAAAGCTTTGGAGAGGGCATGGTTGGAAAAACATGGGAAAGAGGGCTCCTGAGCATTTAGACTTTTTAAATTATTCTTATTTTGAAATTAGAACCACATGGATGGTAGTTTAGAATGATTTACCTTGGCTTTTAAATGAAATTTGTGTAAAAAGGGAAATCCATTTACTTCTGCTCACCAAACTTCCAAGTGTTTCAATTTGTATAGAAATTTGTTTATGAAATAATACAGGACGAATGAATTCGCAGGTGGAATTTCTTGAAAATAATGGATAAAAACCTCCAACAGTCCACCAATGCCAGGAGATGCTTTAATAATTGGTAAATATCCTGTCTGATGCTCTGTAATGACTGAGAAAGCAAATCATGAAGGTCCTCTGTTAATTTTTGTTTCCCAAACTGTTGACAGACAAGAGAAACATGTGCTTCCTATTGTTTTCTACATCTTTAAAAACCTTTTTTGCGTAATTGTAAAAATAATGATTGTCACAAAAACAGGAAGAATAACTCTGGGATTTTATTTTATATTTTAAGAGACTATCCTAGATTTCCTAGACTCTATCAGATTCCAATTTCTGCCACCTACATTATACTTGGGAGGTCTCATTATTGCAAAAAATTGCTGTTGGGTTTTGAATTTGGTTTTTATGAATCTTTCTAATCAACTCTTTTGACTGCAAATATTAAAAGCCTTCTATATTATCAGGAAAGGGAAACCCAATGTTTTCTTTTAAGTTTAATCTTTTTGTTGGTAGCACTACCTACAAATGGATTATTATTTCTTGGTCTACCTTTCAACCTATTTCTTAATAGTTAATATGTAATGTTTATGAAATGTTGGTGATGCTTTTCTAAGCCAGATTGCTGATTAAGCAGCTTCCCCTTTCATAAACAACTTTTGGATCCTTAAACAAAACAACACAAAATAAGAACTATTAACAGGTCTGAGAAAGATGACATTGCAATCAACACCACTGATCATTAAAATAAGCCTAGCCTGAAATAGTAAAGAAATTTTCCAAATAGTGCATATTTGCAACAGAGGATAGAAGTAGCCTTAATTTTCAATCAGCAGACACTTGCCAATGGCTTGTCATTCACAAGCGACTGGAAAGAACTGAAGAACATATCATTGTTTATGAGCCTCTCAAAGTGGGACCTATAAAGTGAGGGACCTGCAACACACCTGTATGGAAAATGCAGATTCAAGGTCCCCACCCAGACCTACTGAATCTGAACATCTAGGGGAAAGAATCTGAATTTAGCCAGTTACATGAATCACAATTTTAGAACGATTAAAATAGGGGTTCATATACTTCCTATGGGGAGACAGACTTGTGGAAAAATAATAGAAATTCTTTAAAGCCAGGCAGATGAACTGGGCTATAATAAAATTCCGAAAATATTTTTTGACAGAATGAGTCAAGAAGAGAAGGAGCATGGTTCGACACAAACTCCTTCTGGGAAACATTGAAAGATGAGACTTTATCAAGAGTGTAAGCACATGATCACATAGTCAGTATTCAGCAGCATCTGAGAAGCTGAGTATTTGTAGCCCAATGAGAAAAGTCAATTTCCAAAATCATCCCAGCCAGAGTACTTACAGCAACTTCAGCCCATGCAGTTCTCCCTTCTATCAGTGATACCATCAGCCTGCTGCCTCAAGGCTAAATTCATACAACCAAAATCTCCCTCCTTCCAAGCCAAAACCTATGGAAATAAGAGTGTAGGAGAGTTGTAAAAGTAAAGCAGCTGATTGTGTATAATTTAGGCCCACAGGCAGCATGGTATAGGCAGACAGAAACTTGCATGATGGCTCACTTCTGTGATCCCAGTATTTTGGGAGACCAAGGTGGGAGGATTGCTTGAAGCCAGGAGTTCAAGACCAGCCTGTGCAATATAGTGAGATACCCCATCTCTACAAACACACACACACACACACACACCCCACATATAAATTAGCCAGGCATGCACGGTGGTGCATTCCTGCAGGAGGCTGAGGTGGGAGGATCTCTAGAACTCAGGAGTTCGAGACTGCAGTGAGCTATGATCCTGCTACTGCACTCCAGCCCGTGTGACAGAGCAAGCAAGACACTGTGCATCCACCCCCACCCCCGCCAAAGAAAAAAAGAAAGAAAAAGGAAAGAAAAACCTGATTTCTTGATTCAATGGTAGCTGTGTGACCATTGGTGCAATAATTCCTTCTGGGATTCAGCTTCATCTCCTGTAAGTCCTCTATGATTGCAGGATTTCAGATCTGCCTGTTTGATTTGCAAGTGTCAGTGTCTATCTAATTGCATGGTTGTTAGAAAAACAAAGTCTAGCATCTCACAGGCCTCAAGCCAGTATCATAATCTACTCAGAAACTGAAACCAGCACTAACTTCTCCTTCTTCTGATGGCGTGGTGGCTAAGAGAACAAGCTTAGAATCAGATAATCCACAGTGTCAGCCCAGCTGTGTCAGTCACGAGGTCTGTGACCTGGAACACACTTCTCCCAACCTCAGTTTCTTTATTGTTTAAGTTGGGATAATATTATCCACCTCACAGTGCTGGATAAAGTACTAAACAATGTAACATGTCAGCTCCATGCCTGACATATAGGAAGGGCTCAATGACAGTAGTTACTATTATTTTTTAAAACTGCGGAATCAAATTTCCAAAAGACTGCAGACACCTAGTTCTTTCACTGTGAACTCCTGTCTTTTATCTCAGAGAAGTGCCAAGTTAGAAGAGAAAGGCCACCATTGATGTTAATATCAATGTTTTAAAAACTTACTGTGTAATCCATTGTAGTGACATAGTTAGCGTATTTGATGCCTGGAGTGGATCACTTTTTAACATCCCCTCCTCTCTATGATAAAATTATTTTCAGTAATTATCACATAAGGATTAGCAATAACCATTATTTTCTGAAATTGTTCATTTTAAAAACAAATAATTAACAATTTTATTGGAAGAGCAAAGCTTAATTTTAAATATATTCAAATTCAGTAAAACATTTCATATATGAACTAAAATTTGCCCTTGCCAAACGAAAGTATTATACCTTGAAGTTCAGAATTTCCTTCTTCTAAATCTGAAACATAAAACCTCTGAGTGATTACTCAGAAATGGCAGAATTGGCGTAACTCGAGATCTTTGTGTCTTTTTTTCTACAATTACTGAGCTACCATTGTTTTTGAATCTACTGTTTAAACACAGGAAGAGATGATATCGCCAGGGCTGGATACCAATAGCTCCAGCAATTTTGAATCATTATACACTTGCTTTATATAAAACTCCTGTGACTGAGTCCACCTGTGCTGAGGAGTGGAGTGGGGAAGATACCTTGAATAGCCAGGCGTTCTTCAGATTAACTTCCTTAATAAAGAGTACAATGTTTATTAAAGGATAATAAAAAAGCAGAAGAATACAAAGCTTACATATATTCTATTAAAACTCAATAGTAACCATAATAGTTTCCTGGAGCTTAAACCAACAAAAGATTTTGGGGAGAAAGCAATTTGATCACTAGTATTATTTAGAATTGTTGGCTCATGTTGATAATAAAAAGCAAATCAACTTTTTTTTTTCGAGACAGTGTCTCACTCTGTCACCCAGGCTAGAGTGCACTGGCATGATCACGGTTCACTGCAGCCTCCATCTCCTGGGCTCAAGTCATCCTCCCACCTCAGCCTCCCATGTAGCTAGGACCACAGTCATGTACCACCACACCTGGCTAATTTTTAAAAATTTTTGTGGAGATGGGGGTCTTGCAATATTGCCCAGGCTGGTCTTGAACTTCTGGGCTCAAGCAAGCCTCCTGCCTCAGCCTCCCAAAGTGTTGAGATTACAGGTATGAGACATTGCGCTTGGCTGCAAATGAACTTTTAGTCGGCTTTATTGTTGTTTTTAAATTCTCTACAGACAAGACACACCTGGTGCATCCTCCCAGTGTCCTGCTCTCAGGCATTCTATTGTTCCAGTTATTTCCTTCGCCTGTGAATTTCCAGAATCTTCTGAATTCCCCACACTGAGTGCAGCCCTTTGTACATAGTAGGTACTTAATAACTATTTGTTGAATTAGGAATGCCAGCCATGCTACATTTTTTCATGCTCACTATTTTTTAAATGCCCAGGGGCAAGGATTTTTATCTGTGTTTTATAATCAGGCTTTAAGAAATTATATAACATGTCCAAATTCACACAGGTCCGTAGTAGTAGAGCTGGGATTCGAACCAGGGTCTCTCCGGCTCTTGTGCGTTGAGCACATGCCCATGTACACAGCTTCTCATCTGTGCCATACTGTGCTGACACTTTTGACTACCGACTTTAGAATTTATAATGCATAATTAAAGAAGTATTCTTTGTGGATACTATTGAAGCTTGTTTGCATCCTAAATGCAAGTTAGAAAAATATTTGGCACCAGTGACTGTCACATTCATTAGGCGCCTTAAACCCATCTGCAGCTCTATTGATATTCATCAGCCCTGCTAAATCATTTACACCATCAGGAAATTAGTCTAGAATGACACTCCCTTTCAGAGAAAGGAACCAGGAAAATCCAGAGAGGCAAGAAGCTGAGCCCTGATGGGAGGCGAATAATAGCAGGTAACTGCTCCAGGCCCCACTGCCAGGGGGACAAGGGAGCTGCTGTCATCCATAGGTTGAAGAAATAAAAACCCAGCCGCGGTGGGATTTTCATTCATATGGCAACACAATCCAGTGCTTGGCAAGTCACTGAGCCTTCACAGCCAACCATCTGTTTCAAAGCCTCCTGCATTTTCCCATTCATGTAGCCATTTAATCTGCCCTTGGCAGGATTGAAAATAAAATTCGGGAGACTCGCTGAGAAATGCATGCCTCAGAGAAGCCCTGACTGAGATAAACCCAGACCTAGCACACCCCGGCCACTGCAGGAAGCTGCACAAAGGCCCTTCCAGCCCACGGATCTTTTTCTAATCAGAAATTATCCCACGTGCTGTCACCAGGGGGAGCCCCCACAGGAAGCTGCTGACCTGAGAGAGCACCGCGGAGGGACTCGGCGGACCTCAGAGCTTCTGGCTCAGCCACCTTTGCTGTAGCAAACATGGAGACCAGGAGGGAGATTTAGGCCTTTTCGTTTTATGGCTAGACGTGGCACGAATATGGGAAAATGAACAGCTGAGTTATCTTACCATATCTTCTATTTAGGGGCTCAGGAGTTAAGGGAACACCAGGTTGCAAACGCATTTTATAACGTCCACTTACCAAACTTCTTTTATGTAAAAAAATTTTTTTAAAGCAATAAAATTTTCTCTAGAAATGCTCAGTCCCATGAAATTTCCTTGTAGCAGAGCTCAAACATGCCTTCTACATAATTATAAATGAAAGGATTTGATCTTTTATAAATTATCTGAAGTCACTGGGTCCAGACCCAGAGGAGCATCCAAACAACCCATGAACCTTTAAAAAACGTAAGTGTGACTCAACTGATATGAGTTGATGTCCAGGCAACTGTATTAAAAACTCATTTCAGAACAACTGCTTGAAAAGAGTCTCCATAACCCTATTTTGTCTGCCTAAACCAGCAGAGGCTTTGAATTTCAGTTTGATCGTGCCAAATAAAAGAGTTACTTGGTTCTTCTAAATAGGCTTCTACCCTGGAACCTGTGTTTCCCAGACTTGCTTGTTTTTACAGATTATCTGAACGTTGGTTCTCAAACTTGACTGCACATCAGCATCATCTGCTGCTCCTTAAAAAGGCCCAGTGCCTGGGTGCTGCCTCCAGTGACTGATTTTATCAGTCTGTGGTGGGGCCTGGGCATCAGGATATTTTAAAGCCCCACTGATGACTGTAATGTGCAGCACAGTTTGAGAACCATTAATGGAGGGGGCTGTCAGAAACACAGATGCCCAGGCCCCAAACTAGACTGACGGAATCAGTGTCTTTAAAGAGGATCCAGGGTGGCTGAATTTTTAACATGCATAGCAATGTTAAAAATGGGCCTCATGATCCGGAAAGTCTGTGAACCAAAAGAAGCTCACATTTCTATTTCACTGGAAGCTGTAGTCCTTCCCTGTCCCTGTAGCAGTGAGAGCAGTCGTTTTGCTAGAGCTGCGGTAGAGAAGGCCTGTGGTTGGTCTGGGGCCAACCTTGGGCTCCCACCCTCCCTCCTTCTGCCACCCGTCTACACACATGTGGATGTTTCTATAAATCACTTCTGATTTGTGGTTCGTATTCAGGAAGTGTTCTGTCTGCTTACCCATGTAATGATGGAGTGGAGGAAAGGTCTAATTTTGGAACGACGGTGGCTTAGGCAGCACCGTGTTCCCTGCAAGCTGAATTTCCTAAATGCACTCACTCCACCACTCCGGCGGCTGCTCACCACAATTACACAGGCAGTGTAAGGCACTCTATCCATCACAGCAAATTACTGGCATGATCCACTCAAGAATCAGGCTGGACAGCCTTGCTGATGGCAATCTTTGCAGAACCTCCTTGATAACCAAGAGGAAGGCAAGGTGGGAGACAGAGCTTTGCAGGTCAAGGCTGTTGAATCAATTAACAAGAGCTCACCTGATTCCAGTGTGGCTTCCAGTCTGACCAGGGAGATGAGATTTGTGAAAGCTGTTAGTACAGACAGTATCATACAAGAGTGTGAGTTCTTATTGCCTGGGTTTCAGTGGCACAATAAAATCAGGGAAGGAAATTAACTTTCATGGAGTGTCTTACACAGTGCTAGGCTCTAAGATACATTGTTTTATGTAATTCACTTGACAGCCCCAGGATGCATCATTACTCTCATTTTACAGATAGAAAAACGGAGGCTCATTTTTATCCAGATCACTTGGGTACATGGAGGCAGAGACACTTTCTCTGGCCCCCAAACCCTTTCCTTTCTCAGTGGCTTAGGCCAGTTGAAACCCCACAGACCTTGGCCTCTGAGTTTCCTCAGAGATCAGTTACTGGGGACCCTGGGAAGCCAGGCAGGGAAGTCTGCTTTGACAGTAATCACCTGTGAAGGAGCTGCTGTGCCACTTCTCTGCAGAGCAAGACCAGGAAATGGGACTCCACTCCCCTGCCATGAACTCAGAACTCTGGCCTTTCCTGTCTAAAGCTCCTGGTTTGGTAAACTGGTAAGAAGATGCTAGTGCTGCATCCCTGACCCAGGAGTATCTTCCAAGCTAGGAAGGGCCTTCTCTTTCTGTTGCTGGGGTCTTTACAAATCTCAGCAAACAATGTGGTAAGACTCCTGACGTCATCCTTGGGTTTCTGGGTCTGTAGTTTCTGGTAAGCACCCTGTGATTTTAACCTTTGGTAATTTGTGGGTGCTGAGGTGGCTCAGGAAACTGTAGTGAGATAAAAGACATGGGGCTTTGTTCTAGGTTGGGTTCCCCAGAGGCCCACCATGAGTCATGTATCTGGGTGCAGGGAGTTTATTTAGGAAGGCGATGCAAGGAGTATTGGTGAGAGAGTCAGAAAGTGTGACAGAGAAGGGAAGAAGAGAATCCTATAAAGGGTGTGCTCGTTGTTGGGCAGTTTCTACTGTGGGCAGTTGGGGCTCAGTTCCACTGTGGACCTGGAGAAGACAGTATAGATTATTGTACACACCTCCAATTTATCCCATCCTTACCCAGGGCTGTGAGAGCTGTGGTATTGATCCTTCAGTTCCCACCCATCATTGACTGAGAGCTGTCCCTGCAGAGAGGGAAACTAATTACCTCTATGACACAGGCTCCAAGGGCTGAGAGGCAGCTCTCAGCCTGTGAGTGGGTCCTGACCACTGAATGAACAGTAG